ATCACAGAAATGGGATGGTTTGGGTGGGAAGGGACCTTAAAAATCCCCTCATCCCATGCCCTGCCATGGGCAGGGACACTTCCCACCATCCCAGGCTGATCCAATTCCCATCCAGCCTGGCCTTGGACACTTCCAGGGATGGGGAATTAATGGATCAGGATCAGTAGGACCTGTCAGGGGCTGCTTTCCCTGGAGCAGCCCAACCCAGCAACCTCTGGCAGCTTCGGAAAAGTTTGGAGACTCTGGAATTCCTTTCCAGCTCCTTTCAGCAGTGCCAGCCCTGCCAGGAGGATTCCTCCTCCTTTCTCCTTAACAGCAGGAGCCTCCTGCAGCTTTTATCCTGTTTTTGGCTCTCTCGGGAACATTCCCAGCTCCAGGTCCTCATCCCTTGCCAGGTTCCATCACCAGGAATTCCCCAAAAGCCCCTTGGAAGGGAAGAGCCATTCTCCCCTTCCTGGCACGAATTCCCTTCCCCAGAGCAGCTCCAGAGGGAGCTTTTGAGCCCGACTTCGGCACGCAGGAGTGAATTTCTTCTCCTGCATGTTTTTATTTTTTTACATGGATAAAATTGGGGATGAGGAAGTGGTTGTGGAATCCCAGTTGGAAAAGGATTTCAGACTTCAAACTGGTGAAGCTAGTAAAGGTGTTGTGAGAAGGAAATATAAATAAATATTAATTATTCGAGAAGTTTTGGATAGGGAAGGGTCTGGAGAGGTCTGAAGGGAGATCGGGGGGGTTCCAACTCTCCCAAATTCCTGAATTAGGCAAAAAGATGAGTTGGAAAAAGGAGTTACAATGGAAAAAAAAAACCACCAAAACAATGGGAATTTGAATGCAACAGAACTTTAATGACAAGGAAGGGTTCAGGGCAGAACCCTTTGGGAAATGATGCAGATCCACAAAAGCCGGAGAAGGTGATTCCTGGGATGTGCCTGGCCTGCAGCTTCCCCAGGAGCTGAGCCCAGTCTGCGGCTGCTGCCAGGGGAGCCGGGGCTGCCTCAGAAATAAAAGGAGCCACAGTTTCCTCCTCCAAACCTCCTGGAGCTGGAGCTGCCCCCTCCATAGGATCCCACTCCACAGGAGCCACCCCCAAAGGAGCTGCCCCCACCGCAGGAGCCCCCAAAGCCCCCACCTGAGGAGCCGAAGGATCTTCTGCCCCCAAAGGATCTGCTCCCTCCATAGGAGCCCCCAAAGGAGCCACCTCCATAGGATCTCCCAATTCCACCCATGGAACCGCCTCCGTAGGATCCCCCCATGGAACCCCCTCCAATGGATCCCCCAATTCCCCCCATGGAGCCGCTGCCCCCTCCGTAGGATCCCCCAATGGCGCCCCCGGACCCAGAAGATCCCATGGCCCCCGACGGGAAGGAGGTGCCCACGATGCTCTCCTGGGGGCAGGAGCTGAGGATGGGCCCCGGGAAGGTGATGACCACGGGCGGAGGGTAGACCACGGCCCGCGAGTCCCCGCAGGAGGTGACACAGGGCTGGCTCCAGGCGTCCGCGTAGGGCTGGGGACAGGACACCTCGCACGGGGACGAGCAGCCGCTGCTCATCATCGCTCCTGACGACATTCTTGGGATGGACGGCAACCTGCGGCAGCACAGAAATCAGAACGGCAGTGCCCAAAATTCCAGAGGAAAAAGAAATCCTGCTCTGGTGCTTTCCATGGGCAGGAAAAAAGGGGGGAACGAGAGTTTAGAGAGGTTCCATTACAACATCTTTTGTGATAGAGGGAGAACTGCAGCTCTGGAGTAAAATTAAAATGTTCAAGGAGATCCGGGCCTTTACACAATCATCAGGATGATAAAATCTGTAATTTCCTGACTGAAGGAATTATTGCCCTATAAATATGAGATCTCTTCTCATTTCCCTCTGTCCTGAATAAAAGCCAAGCTTGGAGTAGTTAAGTTGTAACCTCCCCATCAAATAATCAGGGTTTAATTGACACTTTCCCTTTGTGGTTTGGAACAACACAACCTCACATTTGGAGATCTGCATCTCCCAACAGCTCCAGCCACAAAAATCTTCCCTGCCCAAGACAAAGAATTGATAAAATGGAACAATTTGGCTTGGAAAAGAGCCCCAAGTCCATATTCCTGATCATTTCAGAGCTCTGACATGGAATCATTTCCCAGTTCAGCACCAACAGCCGCATCCCAGTTAAAGGAAATGGAATTAGAGGCAGAGAACTCACCAGGCTCGCAGGGAAAACCGGACTGAGGAGAAGGTGCTGGAGAAGCTGCAGGAAAATCCCGGTTTTTATACCCTTCGCCACGGCTCCCAGGCCATGCGACACAACTTTGGGACATCACCAACAACAAGTTTTGCTGTATAAGCGCCTTATAATTGTAATAATTGCTCTGATAAGTGCTAATGATTCGTAAATCAACTCCGCATCAGCCAATACATGCACACACCCTTTGTCTCGCTTTAATCCTTAAATAATTTTTAGATTATTTTGTGACTGCTGCCACTTCCTGGCCTGGTTTGACTTGGGAATTGTCTTGGAAGGGTGAAGGATCAGGAATTCCCTCAGCAAGGGCAAAAATCAGTTTGGCTTTGTCAGGGGAAATATTTTCTGGTCACCAGAAAATTCCGTGGAAATCCAGAACTGGGAAAACCCACAAATATTGTCTTTATAAATTCTTGGATGGGAAGGGTCATTTTTTTATACACACTTAACCCAAGGAACTCATTAAAAAGGACTTAAATTAATTCCTTGGATGCTCATTATCATCCAAGGAAGCCCTGTATGAAAGCATTTAATTATTGCAGTTCTCCTTTTGTCACCTTAATTATCCTAATCCTCCTTTTGTCCCCTTTTGGGACAGCTGCAATATTCCAGGGAGTCACATGTCCAGGAGGCATCATTGGATGAAAAAACCTAAATATTTTTGAGTGCACGAAGCTGATTCCATCTAAAACACAATAAAAGCATCTCAAGAATGGCCAGGATTATTTTTTTCAAGGAATTCCTGAATTCCCTGAAAATTCCAACAGAATTCCTGGGTTTAAACCTCGTCTGGTGAAAGGCAGAAATGCATAAACAGGAGGAGAGATCTCCAAACAAAACTCCCTTTATCAATCACCAGAAACATTCAGGAGGGATTTAGATGTGCTGGATATTTTGGGGTTGTTGTCACAGACAAACATCTCACACAAATATTGGTGTCATCAAAGCTCAGACTGGGGGGGTTTTGCTCTAAATCAAAGTCAGCTGAAGAGATTTGAGATTCGAAATTCGAGATTTGAGATCTAAGATTTGAGATTCGAGATTTGAGATCTAAGATTTGAGATTTGATTCTCAGTCGGAGCTGTGGGAGGGAAGCGACTCCAGTTTAGAGCTGGAATTTCATCCTGTTTTTCCTGGAAAGGGTGGTCAGGCCTTGGAAAGGGCTCCCTGGAGGTGTCCACCAAGGAACACCTGGCCACTGCTCTGGGTGACCAGGTGGAGATCAGTCCCAGGTTGGACTCCATGACCTTGGAGCACTTTTCCAACCTCAACAGTCCCAAAATTCCGTGATCATCCCATATTTCACATTTCTATCATGATAAAGTTTATTGTTGGTGCTTACATAACTCCTATCCCCACATTTCTGGTGTTTCCAGACCCGATTGGAAAACAGAACATGAGGAGCTGATATCGGGGTTAAGATCTTGCAACAGAACCTGAACAAGCCCTGTCAGGCCTCAGTGACATCCCGGGTTTGACAGCTCTGCCAGTCAGCAATTCCTCCTTGACTCCTCAATTAATGTGAAACTTTCTGGGTTCCTCCAGTTGGGTTGGGAAATATCAATTTACAGGGGAAATCCTGGGTTCTGCTGCTGGTTCTCCCATTCTGGTGGCTCTGGAAGCAGCAGCACTTCCATCAACTCCCCAAAATCCACATTTTGGGGTGGAAAGAGAAATTTTGTGCACAAAACTGATTTATTAATAAATAAATCCCTCAAGTGGATCTAAACACATTCCAGCTTCAATTCCAGCGAGGCCCAGGGACAGAAACCAGCTCCGAGGTGACTTCCTGGGGGCCGGAATGTGGAGCAAATGGGATCAAACCCGAGGGGTGCAGTGCTTGGAATGTGACTTGGGATTAATAATGAATTTATCACATCACTTAGGAATACAATTAGGACAATTAATGAAATAATCCAGCCAGCAAAACACGGTTTGGTAACGCGTGGGAAGCTCTTGCACAAAATGCAGCTCCCATCCTACTGGGGGTCAGGAAAGGTATAAAAGAGCTCTTGGAATTCTGCAGTGCCATCCACGGCTGCTCCTCATCTCCACTTCGCCAGACCCGGTGAGTTGGATCTTCTTTGTCCTCTGTGTGAATAGGGGAAAATATTTTCTGTCTTTTCCTTCCTTCCCAAAAGATGTCTTCAGGAATCTTTCTAAACTCTTCCTCACGGAAGGTACCAGAGCAGGATTTCTTCCATCTGGTATTTTGGGCAGAGTAGTTAGGATTTATCGCCTGCTTCAGGTTCCTCCTCATCCCAAAAGGTGTCTCCAGGACATGGAGGGCTTGCTCTCCTGCAGAACCTGTAGTGCCCAGCCATCCCATTTGCCTTTTCCAGGCTTTAAAATCCAAAGTCCCATCCACGCCTGCATTTGCAGGAACAGGATTGATGAAAGAACCGGAATTTCCCAGGCACTGGGATCAATCCAAGGTTCTCGGTGACCACCACAACTTTATCTTCTGGTCCAACAAACTCCTGGGGATGAGCTGCTTCCAAAGGCCCCTGGAGTTTGGCTTTGCTTTCCAGGATTCCCAGCACTTCCAGGGCAGCAGGGAACCCTTTGGGAATCAGCAGAGCTCAGTGCAGAAAAACTCAGAAAAGGGACAAACCTCACTCTTCCCAACGTCTCCTTCCTCCCTTTTTTCCTGCCCATGGAAGGCACCAGAGCAGGATTTCTTTTTCCTCTGGAATTTTGGGCACTGCCGTTCTGATTTCTGTGCTGCCGCAGGTTGCCGTCCATCCCAAGAATGTCGTCAGGAGCGATGATGAGCAGCGGCTGCTCGTCCCCGTGCGAGGTGTCCTGTCCCCAGCCCTACGCGGACGCCTGGAGCCAGCCCTGTGTCACCTCCTGCGGGGACTCGCGGGCCGTGGTCTACCCTCCGCCCGTGGTCATCACCTTCCCGGGGCCCATCCTCAGCTCCTGCCCCCAGGAGAGCATCGTGGGCACCTCCTTCCCGTCGGGGGCCATGGGATCTTCTGGGTCCGGGGGCGCCATTGGGGGATCCTACGGAGGGGGCAGCGGCTCCATGGGGGGAATTGGGGGATCCATTGGAGGGGGTTCCATGGGGGGATCCTACGGAGGCGGTTCCATGGGTGGAATTGGGGGATCCTATGGAGGTAGTTCCCTGGGTGGATCCTATGGAGGTGGTTCCTTGGGTGGATCCTATGGAGGTGGTTCCTTGGGTGGATCCTATGGAGGTGGTTCCTTGGGTGGATCCTATGGAGGTGGTTCCTTGGGTGGATCCTATGGAGGGAGCAGATCCTTTGGTTCCGGGGGCTCCTATGGAGGGAGCAGATCCTTTGGGGGCAGAAGATCCTTCGGCTCCTCAGGCGGGGGCTTTGGGGGCTCCTGTGGTGGGGGCAGCTCCTTTGGGGGTGGCTCCTGTGGAGTGGGATCCTATGGAGGGGGCAGCTCCAGCTCCAGGAGGTTTGGAGGAGGAAACTGTGGCTCCTTTTATTTCTGAGGCAGCCCCGGCTCCCCCGGCAGCAGCCACAGGATGGGCTCAGCTCCTGGGGAAGCTGCAGGCCAGGCACATCCCAGGAATCACCTTCTCCGGCTTTTGTGGATCTGCATCACTTCCCAAAGCCCTGGGAATTGTCCTTTGTGCTCTCTGTGCGTGACTGTGCCCTGAACCCTTCCTTGTCATTAAAGTTCTGTTGCATTCAAATTCCCATTGTTGTTTTGGGGTTTTTTTCCATTGTAACTCCTTTTTCCAACTCATCTTTTTGCCTAATTCAGGAATTTGGGAGAGTTGGAGGCTCCAGGATGGGAACCAGGCCCAATTATCCCACTCAGCACTGGGTTTGAGGAGGGGAAAACAAATTTTCCACTATCAGTATTTCTCATTGAAGCTCTTTTATATCCCTATTTTTGCCTCACATTTTCCACATTTCTCCTACAAATCCTTCAGCTGGAAACCACTTTTTCCAGAACCAGCTGAAATCCTCCTCTCTTAAATCCTGAAGTGATTTTCAGGCCACTTTAGCAGGAATTTGAAGCTCTGCTTTCACTCTGTGACACATTCTGGGATTTGCTGAACTGGAACTCTGTGGGATTTTGGCTCCTCTCTCCAGAGCTTCACCATGATTGCAAACAAATTATCTAATTGTTTTCCAATTGAGCCTGTTCCTTCAGCCCCACTAAGGTTTTGCTCGGAGCTGATGAATTTATTGCATGCCGTCATTAAATTAATCGCAGATTAAAATTCCTAAACCTCTTTAGGCACACCGGGAATTTAAGCAACTTTAGTCGTGTGTCATCTAATTTTCTATTTACCTCCAGAGCTGTCATTCAATTTTTTAAGCCCATTTTCAGCTTAAACAGAAAGTGAAAAATTTGATTTTCCAAGCAGGAATCTCTCATACGGACAACTCATTTTTCTTGATATTTCCCATATTTCAGTTCATCCTTCTTGATTTAATAAATATTAATGATTCTATAGTGCAATAAAAAGTATTAAAAAATATTTTACACTTTTTTTGGGGGGGCTTCCTGCTCTCCCTCCTGTGTTTTCCAAGGGAGTAAAGCGGGGTTTTAGGTCACCTTTGGCACATCTTTAGACCTGGGGCTCACCCAGGTTCTCTCTGTGTTCCTATCCCGACAGAAAACAACAGCACCAGGCGGGATCTGAGCTCTTGTGTCACTCCTCCCTTGAGAAATTCTCTCTTGCACAGCCTGGTGACATTTTGCTGTCACATAAAAGCAGCCCTTTGATGATGCCACAGTCGGGAGAAATTTCTCCACATCTTGAAGCGTTTGGCACTTCCAGTTCAGAGTGACAGCTCAGAAATCAAGGAGAGATTCCTTGGTGGATTTCCTCTGGTTCCCATCCCCAGTCCTCACATTTTTGTCTTGGTTCACGTTCTTTGATACTCCTGAAAATGTGTTTAGTTTTCCTGAGCCTCAGAATTCTGCAGGGAATCGCGATAATTCCTAAAAACTGGTTCTAAATACGGCGGCAGAATGGACAGGGAACAGGACCAGGACAAGAGGGAATGGCCTCGAGCTGTGCTGGGGGAGGCTCAGGGGAGGAAATTTGGGAAAATTAATCCTGGAAAGGGTGGCCAGGGAGGTTTGGAGTGGCCACCCCTGGAGGTGTCCAAGGAAGGACTGGAAATGGCACTGGTCTGGTGGAAGGTGGACATTGACCAAAGGTTGGACTTGATGACCTTGGAGATTTTTTCCAGCCTCAAGGACTGGATTTTATGATTCCAGGAACCAACAGAATCCTTCAGGAAGGAGGAGCTGAGCTAAACCAGGGTGTAAAATAAAAACCTTGTGGTTTTCAGCTGACCACATCCCACACCTCACTTGTTCATCAAGAGAGACCAGAGACCTCCGTGCCTCGCAGAGAACAACTGAACCCTTTTGTGCTTGAATTTTGGGTGCTCATCCAACCCTCCATTTCACAACTCCAATTAATTAAACAATTACCTCCCAATTACCATAAAACCCCATAATTGCTGCTCACGGAACCAGCTCGAGGAAGCCTAGGGAGGTAGAGGAAAGGATGGGACTGAAACAGCCCCACAGAGAAAGGAAATCCCAACAAAATGTGATGATGCAGGAGGATTTTAATAGGATACACTATGAATGACACCAAACAGACACTCCTTCCTTCAGCCCACTGCCCAAGAAGAATCCACCTTCCACCCATTGTTCTTCTCCTGTCAGGGCTGCATTGACAAGCTCCGTGCCAGGCCTTTCAAGCTGTACTGTTTTTCTTCTCTTGGCACAATGGAAAGAAGGAGCTGGCACTGAAGGGTGATTAACAGAGGCTGTTGTTAATTAAAGACAAAGGGGAAATGCAGGGAAGAGGTGTGGGCCCAGTTCCCAGAGGTCCTGAGCCAGGGTGGCTCCCGTTGATGTTTTTGCCATCTCCAAAAGCCGGTCCCAGCGGTGGGTCTGGATCGTGGGGTTCTATCTTCTAGATCTTAAGCTGCCTCAGTTTCCCAGGCGGGATCCACGGCTGCTGCTGGTGTAGAACTTCCTGAGGTAGCAGCCCCCCGAGGAGGAGCCCCCACCAGAGGAGCCCAACCTCCCTGACACGCCCCCAGAAGAGCTCCCACATCCATAGGAGCCCCCAGATCCGTAGGAGCCCCCAGAGCTATAGGAGCCCCCAGATCCATAGGAACCCCCAGATCCATAGGAGCCCCCAGATCCGTAGGAACCCCCAATTCTGGGCAGGCCACCAGAGTAGCCTCCCATCCCTGAGCCGTACGAGGAACCACCGGAGGGCTGGGGCATGGATGATGCCACGATGCTTTCCTGGGGGCAGGAGCTCAGGATGGGGCCGGGGAAGGTGATCCACACGGGTGGGGCGTAGACGAGGGCCGTGGAGTCCCCACACGAGGCCACGCAGGGGCCAAGGCCTCTGCTGTAGGCACAGGGCTCGGGACACGCCACCTCGCAGCCGGGCAGGCACCGGGAGCTGATGCAGCTCATGGTTCTCGGGGTTGGAGGAGGAGCTGGGAAAGAGAAGATGGAGTCAGGGAATGTCAGGGACAGCAAATGAGGTCCTTGCCCTTCCTGCTCACGGAACTCCAGGATCCCCAAGGTTGGAAAAGAGCTCCAAGAGCATCGAGTCCAAGCTACGCCCAACCACTACCTGGTCACCTAGACCAATGTCCAGGAATTCTTTGAACACCTCCAGGGGTGACCACGCCAAACCTCCCTAAGCCCCTTCCAAGGCCTTTTCCCTTTTCCAGGAGGAATTTTCCCAAATTTCCCACCCTGAGCCTCCCCTGGCACAGCTCGAGGATGTTTCCTCTTGTTCTGTCCCTGTTCCCTGGGATCAGATCCCAAATCCTCCCTGGAAGAGCCCAAAATTCCCCCTGGATCCTCCTTTTCTCCAGGGAAGCTGAGCCCCCTCAGCTCCCTCAGGATTCTCCAGACCCTTCTCCAGCTGCTCCAGTCCCCAGTGACCTTCCTGACTTGGGGGACCCAGAACTGGCCACAGGATCAAGATGTGGCTGCACCTCCTCCTTCAAATCCTCCTGTCCTGGGACACCATTTCTCCCTCCCCTGTAGAAGACACCTAGGATTTGGTTTTTCAGTAAATTTAAGCCTTAAATTTGCACCTCAAGCTTTGAAAAGCCACAAAGAAAAATTCAAATAACTCCTAAAATTCTATCTTTAAATATCAAATTGATTTCTTCCACGTGACTGCAGTGAGACTCCAAGGAAAAGCAGGATTTCACTGCCACGTCTCCTGGCTAAAATCCCCAAAATCAAGGAACGAGTCCTTTTTTAAAACTATCACTACAGAGAATGAGAGAGAGCAAAGATCAGCTTAAATCCAACTCACCTGGAGTAGCAAGAGAAGTCAGGAGAAGGTTTGAGGAGACTGCTGAGAGGTTCCTGCTTTTATACCTCTTTGGAGGCAGCTCCTGGGGTATGAAATATCCCATAAAATCTCTCACCCTTACCAAATTCTGATTTTTTTCCTCTGTGTGACTCCTCTAACGCCTGTAATTATTTTCATAGTTCCCAATTAGCAAATCAACCCTCGACATATACAATCTGACTCTCATATCGTAAATTTGGCTTTTTCATTGTGTGGGAATTTTACAGCCTGGTTCCTGTGCAACATCCCAGGGATGACTGGATTTACAATGGAACCTGACCCCTGTCTGTTATTTTTCATTAATGATTTAAGTGAGGCCTGGACAAGATTTCAACCCTGCAAGTCTGCACTAAAGCACGGCTTGGGTTGATGATGAGATAATTTTGAAGGTCAAACTCATTTGTGAAGAGTTTCGGGAGGAATTTCCTCATGGAAAGGGCTTTGGAAGGGGCTGACCAGGGGGGTTTGGAGTCCCCATCCCTGGAGGTGTCCAAGGAACAACTGGACATTGGTCTGGGTGACCAGGTGGTGATGGGTCAAATGTTGGACTCAACTATCTTGGAGGGCTTTTCCAGCCAAGATGATTCCAAGGTTCCAGATTTGGGATCCACCTTGGGGCACAAAGGCCTGGTGACCTTGGGCTGTGCCCTTGCAGTGGTGCTGGTGACTTTCTGGTGACAATGCTGAGCTCAGCATCCCCAAAATGAGTTTTGATTAAAATTACTCAGAGGTTTCAGGGCTTAGAGGACCTCGCATGTCACTTCAATGCCTTTGAAATGTGTTTTGCTGTCTCATCCCCTCAATCTGTGGGTGCACGAAGGGTTGCATAGAGCCCTGACCCCCATGTGAGATTGGATGATTCTGTTTGGGAGGGATTTCACCCAAATCTGAGGATTACACCCCAATTGTGTGAGTGACATGAGGGGAGCCACCTTCTTGCGAGTCACTGGAGGAAAATAAACACAGAGATCAGCTCCTGTTTCTTTTGGAAGCAGAATGATGCTGAAAGGATTTTCCTCTATGAAGTCTGAGACAAAAGGAGACTTTTGGGTGTTGGGTTTGTGTCAGTCAAAGCAGGGCTGGAAATGATCAGTAATTATGAGCTGAAATGAAAACAATGGCGAGGCTTAAGAGGATCTTTTTCTTTGTAAGTGATAAGAATTTAGTAAATGATGGGTGACATCACATCCTTCTTATTGTCTGAAAATGGAATAAAAGGGGAGAGACCTGAGAAGTCTTCCATTCTCGCAGCTCCACTGATTTATTCCCTCCAAGACGACAAGGTAAGTCTGACTTCATTGTACTCCTCAATACTTTGAAATTTCTCCTTTTTTATCTTGTAAAATTTTAGGAGTTTTAGAAAAAGCTGGGGGAGAGAAGAGTGGATTTAGAAAATCTGGGGGAAAGGGAAGTACAGAGCAAGGAAGATTTTCCTTGGGGACTTTCTGAAGGCAAATCTTCCTGTAGATCTACTTGAAAAGGGAATTAATGGGACTATTCTGGGCAAGGAATTATTTAAGGATCAGGTAGTTCAGCCCCAGAGAAAAGGGGAAGATTTTTTTCTTTTGAGAGATTCAGAAGAAAAAGAGATGTGGTGGTAGGAAAGGAAGAACTGAGAAGCCTCAAACAGGTCAGGAAGGAGATAGCAGGAAAAATGGGAATCCATGAGGAAGGATTGAACTGAGAGCAGTTGGAGAAGGACAAAGTACAACTGGTTCATACTGAGAACCCATGGCCTGACTGTGCTGCTTCCTTGACCTCACATTTCCTCTCCCAGCTTGATCCCAAATCCCAAGAAGATGATGTCAAACGTCGGCTCCGAGTGCCTGCCAGGCTGTGAGGTGGCCTGTACCCAGCCCTGTGCCTACAGCAGGAGCCTGGAGCCCTGCGTTGCCTCCTGTGGAGATTCCAAAGCCGTGGTGTTCCCTCCTCCCGTGGTCCTCACCTTCCCGGGCCCCACCATCAGCACCTGCTCCCAGGAGAGCGTGGTGGGAGCATCCCAACCCACGGTTCTTGGTGCTCCCATCCCGAGCATCTCCGATGAGCCCTATGGGGTGGGGAGCTCCTTTGGGGCTGGGAGCATGATGGGAGCAGGACCCTCCTTTGGATCTGGGGGCTCCTTTGGCTATGGGGGCTCCTCGGGGGCCAGGGGTTCCTTTGGATATGGGGGTTCCTTTGGTTATGGAATGCAGAATTCCCGCGGGTCCTGTGGCTATGGGGGCGCGCTGGGGGCAAAGGGTTCCTTTGGGTCTGGGGGTGCCTTTGGCTACGGAAGCTCCCTGGGAATGGGGGGCTCCTGCAGCCGGAGGTCCCGCAGCAGCCGCGGCGGATCCTGCCTGGGGAGCTGGGGCTCATCCTAAGGCCAAACAACCCAGAGGATGAAAACCCGGGATCCAGATCCACGGCCAAGCCTGGAATTCCGAAGCTGATCCCTGAAAACCAGGCCCACATCTCTTCCTGCTGTGCCTCATCTCCAATCAAATGCTGTTCTGCGGGACGACGTCTCTCCTGGAACTCTTTAATTAATCTTGTTCCGTGTCCTTTCTGGTGGGGTGGAAATGCTTCAGAATTCTATCTGGGGCTTTCTGTAAAGGCCTCGGCTTCACCTTGTGGAGTGGCTTTTGTCACCCACGGGGATGGCCTGGCTGCCCTGGGACCACCCATGAATTGCTCTGTTTTGTTCTATTTCATTTATTTCACCCTAATAAAAATCTTTCTGAATTGCATTGGCAGCTTCCTGGCTTTCCTTTCCGCAGAATCCCAGGATCATTTGGGCTGGAAAAGACCTCCAAGGTCGTCAAGTCCAACCTTTGATCCCCACAAAATGAGGTCACCCCTAACTATGCCAGCTCCCATTACCCTGGCTCCAAGGGTAAACTGGTTTTAACTGGGAGCTGCACCAGTCCATCCCCGGAGGTTTTTCCAACCTATTGGAATTTATTCTGTGTTATTTATTGGATAGTGTGGAATAGATCAGAAAGGGAAAACAGTTTATTGAGGAATTTCAGACTAATTATATTTGCATTAGAGCAGAATTAATTCCCCTCTGATGAGAATTAATTACTGCACAAGGATTCCCTTCTTTCAGACCAGTTTGTAACTGAAACTGTGGTGAAATAAAAGCCAGAACCCGGGGCTGTGATGCAACAGGACTTTAATATAAACAAAAAGTGGGATGAGGCAGTGCAAAGACAAAGAACAGAATCTTCATGTCAGCATTCCCATGTCAGCATTCCCATGTCAGCATTCCCATTTCAGCATTCCCATGCCAGCATTCCCATTTCAGCCTGGACTCCAGTCCAGCAGTCATTCCAAGACATTCTTTTTCCAGCCGGACACTTTCACAGCCAAGTCCCATGACTGGTTTTACTCTTCAGGTTCAGGGAGTACAAAACACAACAGGAGCGAGGGACAAAGGGAGGGAACATTGGGATCCTAAGCCTTGGATAAAGCACAAATGAGATCCAAGCAACCCCAGCTCCGACCGGACCAGCTGGAGCAGAGACTGCTTGGAATTCCTAGCTCTCAACTACTACCCCGCATCCTATTTTTCCTTTGGACATTCCTCAGCTTTAAAGGGTTAAAAAGGCCCGTAGTTCCCATAGCGATACCTGTAGTACCCTCGAGAAAAATAGGGGTAATAATTCCTACCATAGCCTGAGAAATAGGAGCCGCGGTAGAGGCTCCCCAGCCGTGACATCCCACCCCCGCAGGAGGAGCCCCCTCCCATTCCCCCGCAGGAGGAGCCTCCTCCCATTCCCCCGCAGGAGGAGCCCCCTCCCATTCCTCCTCCTCCGGAGCCCCCTCCCATTCCCCCACAGGAGCCCATTCCTCCCCCTCCAGATCCCATTCCTCCTCCTCCAGAGCCCCATCCCGATCCCATCCCACCTCCTCCAGACCCCATCCCTCCACCTCCAGACCCCATCCCCCCTCCAGACCCCATCCCACCACCTCCAGACCCCATCCCACCCCCTCCAGACCCCATTCCCCCGCCGATTTCGGGGATAGACGACCCAACGATGCTCTCCGTGGGGCAGGAGCTGATGATGGGCCCCGGGAATGTCACGACCACAGGTGGGGCATAGACGATGGCTCGGGAGTCTCCGCAGGAGGCGACGCAAGGCTCACTGCAGGCATCGACGTAGGGCTGGGCGCACGTCACCTCGCAGGGTGAAGCGCAGCGGGCGCTGAGCAGTTGGCCATAGGAGGACATCGTTCCCAATCCAACCTGGAAGGATGAGAAGACCCCAGCCCAGTGAAGGCACAGCCTGGGAAGGATGGGTTGGAAGGGTGGGGAAGAATTCCTCAGTTCTGGATTTATTTGTGTGTTTAATTCTTTAAGCGTCGCCTTTTAGAAGTAAAAAAATGTCCCCAGACTTCTCCATGAGAGAGGGAATCCGGGTGAAGAAAATGTTTTGTCCCTAAATTCTGAGGGATGAGGCTGAGATATCCGGCAGGAGATGGGAGGTGTATGGGGGATTATTCCCTTTGGAATTTGCTGGAAAGGGAGCTGGGAATGGGGATTTGCTGGGTGGTGTTTGGATGGGCAGGTGCAGATGTGTGGGATTAAATCATCCGAATAAATGAGTAGGTAGTTAAAAAAATTAAAATTACAATTTTTAAAAATCATCGTTTATAAGGCACAATCTGCTTTTCCATAAATTGCACCAATCAAGGGAGATGAATTGTGAGGAAATGCTTCTGATTCTGTTCCCACTCCTCTCTAGTGCTCTATGGAATCACAGAATGGACCTTAAAGATCCAGTTCCAACCCCTGGCATGACAGGGGCACTTTCCATAGACCCCAAACCCTGTCCAACCTGACCTTGGACAGTTCCAGGGATGGGGCTGCCATGGCTTTTCTGGGAATTCCATTCCAGGGCCTCCCCATGCTCACAGGGAAGGATTTATCCCTAAAATCCCATCTAAACCTCCTGTCCATCAGTGGGAACCCATTCCCCCTTTTCCTTGCGCTGCATCCCTTGGAAATTGTCACTCCCCATGTTCCTTTTGGCTCCTTCAGGTCCTGGAAGGCCACAACTGGGTCATCCCAAAGCTTCTCTGTATTTTTGTCCTGTCTCTATTCCCAGAATGAATTCTGGGAAGAACCTCCCTGTCCTTCTCCTACTTCATTCCCTTCCCTGTTCCTTTTGGGAATCAATCCCACCCCAATCCCAGGTTTGGAGTGACCCTTCTCCATAAATAAATGCTCATTTCCTAAAAATTCCTCCCATCAACACTTTTGAAACTCCCATTCCTTTCCCCCGTTTTATCCACCTTAATCCCAAGCCCCACTTCCCACGCAAGAACAGATTTGGAGAATAAACTCTACCCTGATTTAGGATAGGATATAAAACCTCAGTTCAAAGCTCCCCATAAACCAAATTACCTCTAATTAGGAGCTGATTCAGTTAAATCTGACTTACCCAGTCAGCAAGGAGAACGAGTCAGCAGAGGCAGCTCCAGGGCCACCAGTCAGGAGCACTTTTATATCCTGTCATGGAGAAGGGAAATTGGGAGCCACCTTGACGCAACCCCTTGTGAAATGGAATGTTTTCCCTGCTCCTGCCTCCCCTTGTCGCAACTGTTTTGATAACGCCTTAGGATTAGGAGATAATTCCCAGTCCCACACAGGGCGCTGCAGGTGCTTCACCCTTCCTGGGCCTTTGCTGGAGATCTCTCCATCCCGGGGGATGGAGGGGGGGTTTTTCCCTAAAAACTGAGGGGGATTTTCCCTAAAATATTCATTTTGTGTGTGCGTGGTCCACCTCATGAGTTTTTATGGAATTTCTGACTTCTAAATTCCCAGGCCCACACAGCGGTGTGGGATAATCCCCAGGCCTACAGGTGTTTCACCCTTCCAGGGCCTTTGTTGGGAATCCCACCATCCACTGAGGGGGATTTCCCCTAAAATATTAATTTTGTGTGTTTGTGGTCACTTTGTGTTCACCCCATGGGTTTTTTATGGAATTTCTGACTTGGAACATAAATTCCCAGGCCTACACTGGCCCAGGCCTACAGGTGCTTCACCCTTCCAGGGCCTTTGTTGGGAATCCCTCCATCCACTGAGGGGGATTTGCCCTAAAACAGGGTTTTTTTTCCCTAAAATATTCATTCTGTGCCTGCGTGGTCACTTTGTGTTGACCCCATGGGTTTTTATGGAATTTCTGTTCTTGAAGGTGTCCTTTGAACAGAGGATTTTCTTTTCACATTCCAAGTGGGAAGTTTGAGATGCCAAAGCAATTCCTGGACAAGAATTCCATCATAACTTCAGCTAAAAAAGGGCACCTACCCAGGATTTTATATTTTATCAGCAATTCGTCATCTCAAGGGGTGTCCCCCTCAAAATAAACACCTATAAAATACTAAAAACCAGGAAGAAATTGAATTTTCCTTTGGGGATCTGTTTTTTAGAGGCCAAGATGAGGAGAGGAATTTAGTTTAGGATTAGAGGACTCAGAGTAAACATTACCTGAAGTCCAGGCCCACAAACTCAGCTCAAAAAAATACCCAGGGCCTGGAATGCTGATAATGTGATTTCCACGCTCAGGTTTACATTAAAAAAAAAAACCTCTTCCTTCTCAGTTGTGGTGAATTATTAAAATGAAAGGAAAACACAAAAACAAAGACCCAAATAAATTATTTTATTTACATTTCATGGCTCTGGAATCAATATAATGAGCAGAGAAGACATATGAGCAGCGCAGAACAGTCTGACTCACTTAATTTGTGGCAATTAAAAGCACCTATTAATTACAGTGATTGACAGCTGAGGCAATTCCAGGAGTTACCAAACCCAATATTTGAAAAAAGTCCATAAGAACCTCGTCCCATTGTCTTGAGGAGAAAAAATTGGTTTAAAACACAAAACTGCCAAAAAAATCCCTGGGGTTTGGTTTCTGGAATTGGGGATTTTCCCTGGAAGCTTTAAAGGGATCCTTTCCTTTGTGGAATTTCACAGCCCTGATATTCCACGTAGATCTTTCCAAAAAAAATCAGCTCCCAAATGCAAACCTCTGGCACAGGCTCAAAACTCCTTTCACAAGCCCTGAACCTGCCTCAGATCAAAGAGTTCCTTAAGAGATAAGAGAAGGAGATAAACTCCCTTCCCAGCTGGAAGAGAAATCCTTCTGGAAATATAAATTAAATTTTTTAAAAATCAGGAATTTGGGCTTTCTTTTTTTTTTTTTTTTTTTTTGCAAAGGAATTCAGGGGGAAAAACCCAACAAAACAACATAGTTTTTACATTTAAAAAAAAAAATCAACTTTAAAGAGCCATTTTGTGCTGAGGAGCTCCAGACTCACCTCAAACAAACCAACTCCAGACATTTACCTGGCAGATTCCTCATCCTGTTTTTTCCTGGCACGCTGATGTTGTTGTTGTTGTTGATGTTGTTGTTGTTATTGTTCTTGTCGTGCCTGGTAAATTGATTTTCTGGCTTTAGGAATTCCAGGGCTCCGCTCTGATCCTTCCCGGCTGCTTTGCATAGGGAGATGAAATCAGAGGAAGCTGCTGCAGCTGCTTTGCTCTTCCCTATAATTTTCCAAAATTGGGCTCCGAGGCCGCTTGGCAGAGAGGAAATCATCGGTGTCATCATCCCAGATCAGGGCAGAACACCATCCTCAACCCTCATTTTCCCCCAGATTTTATCGGGGCAGTTCCAGGCTTGGAAGGCAGCAACCAACAACACCCAGCAGGGAAATAAACAGGCTGAAATTTGGGAATTACTGCGCAAAGTTGAGGCTGGCTTGGATCATGGAATCTCAGTTTTGGAACAGTTCCTGAGCTCCCACCTGGAATCCAATTTCCAAATAAAGGGATGATGTTTTGGGGAGTTTTTTCATTGTGAGATTGAAGGGGAAATATGGGATTAAATGAAATCACCACCAACTGCTCGTTAATGATTTGTTTTATTGTTCAGCTCGAAGCAGGATCTCATTTTGGTTAATTTATGTTAATATACCTCCATTTATGTTAATGTCTATGAATTTCTGTCCATTTATGTACATTTCTGATAATTTACGTCAAATTTCTGTCCATTTCTGCCCATTACTGATGTGATTCCCCATTATTGATTATTGATCCTATTAAAAAATCAATTTTTTGGCAGCCTCCCATTTCCTTCTGGACATCTCAGTCTCATCCCTAAGAATTAAAAGACAAAACACATTTCTACTTGGATTTCCTCTCTCATGGAGAGGTCTGGGGACATTTTTTACCTCCAGCACCACAAAAGGTGGTGATTAAAGAATTAAACACACAAATAACTCCGGAACTGCGGAATTCTTCCCCACCACCCAACGAGATTTTCCTGGGAGCTCGGCAACAATGACGGCACCCCAATTTCCCGGGAATCTTTCATCTTGGAAACAAAATCCAGTTAATGGTCTGTAATTCCCTGGATAAAACTCGAGGCAAGGTGGAATTGCAGCCCCGGGGGGGAAGCCTGGAGTGCCTGGGTGTGATTTGGGTCTGTCTAAAAGCTGGGCCAAATGTCCCTCCGGGGCCACCACCCAAACGCCTTCTCCGGGTCAGGGTCACCTCCAGGACTTCCCAAAAATCTCGGAATATCCAGAGGTGGAAGGGAAACCCAAGGATCAGGCACAGAACCATCCCCAGGAGTACCCAGAGTCTCACCTGGGGTTTTTTTTAGGTTCTGGAGCCCCCAGGATTGGGCAAGGTGGGTGAGGGAGATCTGATAGAGCTCAGCCCAAGCCCAAACCCCCAGAAGATTGAGGAGAAGGAGATTTTGAGCTTCACTGAGGAACTGGAGCATGGCCAGGGATGGGAACGGGGCTGGAGCAGCTGGAGAAGGGTCTGGAAAATCCTGAGGGATCTGGGGGGGCTCAGCCTGGAGAAAAGGGGGATCCAGGGGGGATTTTGGCCTCTGCCAGGTGGGATCTGGGATCTGATCTCAGGGAATGGGGACAGGACAATAAGGAACGGCTTCAAGCTGTGCCAGGGGTGGGAAATTTGGCAAAATCCTCCTGGAAAATGCAAAAGGCCTTGGAAGGGGCTGCCCAGGGAGGTTCGGAGTTCTGGAGGTGTCTGGGGAATTCCTGGACATTGGTCTGGGTGTCCAGGTGGGATCAGACACAGCTTGGACTCGACGACCTTGGAATTCTTTCCCAACCTCCGGGATCCTGGAATTCTAAAGAGCTGCAGGATCTGCTCCTCAGGAGGGTGGGTGCTCATGGGAGAAGTTTGGGGTT